ACAGCACAGGACTCCCCTCGGCTGTAGGCAGCACTTCCGGCTCAACCCCCCTTTCCTCCCAGGTGCAGGGAGCCGAGGAGGCCAATAAAGAGCGCCAGCGACAGAAAGAGCTGGAGACCAACTACCGCCGCGTGTGGGGCTCTCCAGGCGGCGAGGACACCGGGGACTTGGAGGAGTTGGACTTCTGAAACCAGCACTGCCAGGCTTTCCAAGGATTTTAGAATCGTCCTGATTGGCTCTGCCTCCTCCTCGTCTCCCACCTCGGGGCCCCGGAGGCAAACGGGCAGGTTGGAGCCCAGCTCTGGACTTCAGGGGCCCAGCCCCGAGGGTGCGAGGGTGTGTGGGGGCCCAACAAGGGAGAGCCACCCTAAGGCCTCGCCAGGCCTTTGGGCCCCGGGCCCCAAACATGCCTTCCTTTGCCTCTTCGGCTTTTCCTGTCCCCTGACTTCTTAGCTCTTACCCCATTTTTACCCAGAGATGTGGTAAGATCTCGTGAGCGGGGCATGGTGGGAAAAGCAGTTAATCAGACTCCAGGAAAGCAGGTCCCACCCTACCCCACCCTACCTCGATGCCCTGTTGCTGTTGAGAGCTGCTCGCCCCCCTCCCTTGGATTTTCTCCTTCCTGTCCCGATATCTGTGCTTCTGAGTCAGGAGCCCTTACCTCTGTCACTGAGGGAATAGGAGACCTTACGTCTCACCTCACACACAATCCCAGCAAAAAGGGTTGGATGCGGAGCTACCCACCATGTTCTGCAGGTTTCTAAATAAAGAACTGGACCATCAGTGCGTCGTCCTTTGTAGGGGACGTTTGGTGTCTTTTCAGGATGGGAGACACATACTTTGATCCTGTTTGCTCTACCTCCCCCACCCCCAGAGAGCATCCATGTGCCTGGGGTACACAGGCAGAGGTTAGGTCAGCCGACAAGCCCACCAGCCTGGAGAGAAACGTTGTTCTCTTCTTGGTAAACTGACCAGGCACGGGCCTCCAGAGGACTGAAGGAGCCCAAGTCTTTGCACAGGACAGCACTTATCTTACACACGAGTGTCAGAGCTCTGAAGGATGAGGATCCTAGAAGCTGCGGCAAAGCTACAGGAGACTTCCGATCCCTCCTTTCATAGTCTAGTCCTATCCTTTATTTCTAGAAAATAAAAAATGGCCAGTATTGGGGCTGCCGACCTGCACCAGCCAGTTGCTTCATTTGAGCCGTAGTAATCCTCTCCTCTCCCTCTTTACATCCTGAAAGTTAAAGTGTGTACCGCAGAGACCCTCCCACGCTCACACAGGGTATCTTCCTTCCTGCAGCATGCTCCACATTCCACTTGCCAGCTCCCCCCGCCCCCCGTTATTTACCATTCCCTGGAAAACTCCACCTACAGCCCATGACAGGGCTGCTGCCCACATGCCAGCTTCAGAGTATTCCAGAGACAGGTGGACCTGGTGTCTTCATCTCTTCCCGACTGCCGCGGACAGCTGTGGGTACCTCTTACCCCGTTTTCTCTCCCAGAGTAGAGGGCCCTCAGGACAATAAAGGTCAAGTCTCTGCTTTGGGTCCCCAGCCAAGAGGGGACCTTGTAGCCCTCGCTGGACACAAAGGAGGTTCCATGATAGGAAAGGGACAGAGGACACTGCCATCTCCAGAAGAGGCAAGTGAGAGCTCTGATTATTGAAGGAACTCATGGAGCTGGCCCTCTTCTGAATGTGGATGAGTGCCGATAGTGCGTGTTATGCTTAAATTGTTTTGAAATGTAGACAAGTCCAGCTTCCCACATCCCTGTGAATGTCTTGAGAGGGTAGATGCTGCAGCTGTGTGAGAACTTAGTTGTCTTGAGTGGCCATAGGCAGGGCACAGCATTCAATACAGTACCCACTTCATCAGTAGACCCTTGAGTGAGTGATTGCCCTTCTGATGCTGACAGGGCACTGGCCTCCAGGGGGCAGTAATGAGGGTGGGGTTGTCACAGCCTGAGCTCTGAAGGGATGAGGATATGGAAAGCCTTAGGGAATCCTAAAAGCTTCTGTCGGGTTACAGGAGACACCCTTGGACTGAGAAGGAATCAGCGGGCAGGTTACCTTTGGTACCTCAGCTTGGTCAGAAACCACAGAACCCTCACTGCACTGAATCAATCTGAACTTTCAGTAAATTCCCTTTTCCTTCCCTTCTGCCTTTTGGCAGAGTTCCCAAGAAGGTCAGCGCGTCTCAGCTGTGCTAAGGCAAACAAAAGGACTAGAACAGCAGGTGTGTGGCAGATGGCATCCAGAAGAGGGTGGGGAAGTTCGGGGACAAGAAGAACCAAGTATAGAAGCTCATGGCTGGTTGTGGGGCTGCATGGGTACAGGGGAGCAGCACTCTTGCCCGTGCCCACCCAGGGGTGTCCTTCCTGTTCTGCCACAGCCTGGAGCGCTTCGTCACGCCATCTCTCATCCCACGAGACTAACATAACCCATTAAAAGAAATCAATTACTTGGCAGTAGAGTTCACCGACACCCTGACCATTTTTCACTGGCCTGCGGATCCCTTGACAAGGGACTTCATTCTGTTGAGGGTCCTTGTTCCTCCCCATATCTAACACCCTGAGCTTCTGAGGAAGGGTGTGAGTTTTGCTATGAGGAAGGGAAGTGGGGGTGATAAAAGCAGACCAAGGCTCTCAGCTGATAGGCAATGGCATCTGCCAGTCTTCCTGCCTTTGCCCAGACCACACAAGTCCATCTGTCTGTCCCTGCCCTCAAGTCCATTCCCCCCTGGGCCATGCTGATGTGTGAGGTGATTACCCAGGCTGGAGCTCTGCAGAACAGCCTCCAGAGCTTTGACCAGACCCTATCAGTTCCCTGACACATGTACAGATGAGAACTTTAGAGGACACCAGGGGTTAGAATCAATCTACCCAAAGATGCTAACAGCACCAACTGATTCTGTAAGACAGACAACAGCACGTGGGGGCCCAACCTGCAGTAGCTACTAGCCTAGCCTTTACCAGGCCTGTTGCTTCTACACAAAAACAGCAGGGCTGACTGTGCAGTAAGCGGTGATACTGTGGCTCAGGCCACCATGACCTGGGGTGACCCCAAAATAGGAGCGGGCAAATGCTGGCATGGATCTCGTGGACACCAGGGAGCTGCAAATGGTAGGGAAAGCTTGCACCCCTGCCGTCCCTAGCACCCCTCATTAGCTCTGACGCCTAGTGACTAGCCAAGGTAAGCAGACTAACCCAGCACCTAACCTAGGATCACAGGTGCCCTCTCAACGTATGTCTCTGGGGTCACTTGTCCAATGTCCCCCAGCTAGGGAACAGTGGGCCAAGTTTCGAGACTAAATCTCATTCTTGAACCCCAACAACCCCACCTTTTCAGCCCTTAACTCCCCGGGCCTGTCTGTTTCTCCAAACACCATGCTCCAACTCTTCGCCAGGTTTGGCATCAATCATGCACCTGACTCGTTCACAGATCCCCGCTGCTGCTCTGACTAGGACTGTCCCAAAGCTGAGACTGCCTCTGTGCCTGTGGGGTACTGTCCTAACCCCAGCCCAGAAAGGACCTCTGCCTGGCCCTTTCCCAGCTCCAGTTCCCCGACATCCACCAAGACCATACCCTCACCTGCCTCTTCAATAACAGACCAGCAGCTCACCCCCTAGACAAAATCACTTCCTCTTTAATTGCTGTTAAGATTCACATCACCTGCTTTGGAGGTGAGGGGGGCAACCCCTGCCCCCTCCTCACCCCACTCCCCGATTACCTGGTCTTTTGCAAAATATTTTAGCCAGGAAAAAACAAAACAAAACAAAAACAAAAAACAAACAAACAAAAAAACCCAAAATAAAAACCGGAAACCACTGACACAGACGGCCCAAAACCTGGGTTGACTAAGGGAGGCAGGGTTGGGCTAGGTCAGTCCATTCCACCTCCCCCTTCTGGGGATGGGGCTAGGACCTTGACACCCTCCCAGCCACTGCACACCCTCTCAGCCCTGGCTGGGAGGGAGCAAAGGATAGAGAAACGGATCTGGAGCTGCTCCAGTGAGAGAGGGGCTGGACAGAAAGGGTTATGGGGGAGGGGTCCCATTGGAGGGGCCCCCTCCCCCAGGTCACCACGGGCGCTGCACAGTCACAGGTACGTAGTCACGGCCACAGACACAACCCGAGAGCACCCCCACCCCACCCCACCCCTGCCCACCCTTGGCTTCCCCTACCCTGAAATGCCCTCCCCTCGCCCCTACCCACCCCATCCCCATGTTGGGGAACAAAGCAATAAATTACAAGACCCCTCTCTAGCCCCTCCTGTTCCCATCCTCCCCCATCCCAGGATCGTAAGGGGAAGGACCCAGGCTCTCGGCTCCCCCTGGCTCTTCAGCTTCCATTCACAGACAGGTAGAAGGGGATAGCTGAGTTCCACTTCTCAAGGACCCTTTCACGGAAAGGGTTGGGGACCCCTCCATCTCCACGGGCAGCAGGGGTCCTGCCCCTCGCTGCCCTTCCCCCTCACTGGGCAGTGAGGTCAGCATGGAAGGGGTGGGGTCCCCATATTGGTCCCAAGTCCCAGGGCTAGTCCTCCAACTACTAACCCCCTCCCTCTGGCGTGGCGTTGCCCCAGGAGCCAGCCTGGGTTTGGGCTCCGGCCACCAGATTGTAGAACGCAGGCAGGACTGAATCTTTTACCCGCCCCTAGCGGGCACGAGCCAGCAAGTCCGAGTGCCCTGGGGCCGGTACAGCTGCAAGGGCAGCGGGTAGACAGACCCAGGGCAATCCAAGTATGGACACAGTGTGGAGCAGGGGCGTGTTGAGCTAGGGTCTCCGTGCCTCGCTGGGGAGAGGGAGGTGAGTCTGTGTCTCCTGGGAGGCGTGCGGGGGCTGTGCCCTCGTGGGGGTAGGAAGTGCTCCCGTGGGACGGGGTGCGGACTGGAGAGGTGAGTGGGTGCCATCTGTCCAGCGGTCCACCCGGTGTGGTCGTGCCCGGCCCGCGCGCGCGGGGGGGGGGGGGGGGTAGGAGGGGGGGAGGTGGTGTCTCTCCCGCTGCTGGGCAACTATACCAGCGCGATCGTGGTGTCCACGCGGGCCCAAGCTGGCAGCGCTGCTCCGGCGCCTCGGGCTGGGCGTGGCGGTAATGCTGGGGGTGGTGGCCGCGCTCGGTGTGGTGGCTGTGCTGCCGCCCTCTCCCGGGCAGCCGTGCTGGAGGAGGATGTCTGCACACAACTGGCTGCCTGCCTGGCGAGCGTAGAACAGGGCCGTGTGGCCCTGCGCGTCACGGGCCGCTACGTCCGCGCCGTACTGCAGGAGGGACAGGCCGTTGCGTGACCAAGCGCCATCCAGGGGACCTCCACCCGCACACCTACCACTCTATGCCTCCAAGCCCACCTCTGGGCTCCCTTCCCCTACCTCTCCGCTCACGTACCCACAACAGCAGCTGCGTGATGACAACGTGGCCGAGCTCGGCCGCCAAGTGCAGCGGCGAGCGGAGCTGCGGGTCCTCCACGCTGGTGTCGAGTGGCCCGTGTCGCGCGTGGGCCAGAAGCAGCAGAACGGTGGCCACGTCCTGGGCCTGCACAGCGGCCCACAGCTGGTGGCCCAATGGCTCCTCCGTGGAACCCAGAGGCGCCAGGAACAGCAGCTGCTCGTACTTGGCGCGAATCCACGACTCACGCTCTTCCCTGCAGGACCAGGGACCAGGGGGACCAAGAGAAAGAGTTGTAGGGGACCTCTAACCAGGACCTCCCAGGAACCGTACACCCCCCCCCCACTGATCCTCCATCCTTACCGCGAAGAGTCCCGCGTGGGCTTGGCACGGCCCCGAGTGTCGCTCTCCCACACGCGGTTGGCCGTGTCGTTGCCAATAGCCGTCAGCACCAGGGTCAGCTCCCGCGGCCAGTCGTCCAAGTCTAGCGACCGCACGCGGGACAGGTGTGTGCCCAGGTTCCGGTGGATGCCAGAACACTCGATGCAGATGAGCGCCCCCAGATTCAAGCTGGCCCACGTGGGGTCTGGGGACAGGATGAAACGGTAAGGGGTTAAGCTGAGGTTGGCAGCATGTCAACAAGGCACTCCACTCTTTTCACCAGACTCCATCCCGCTAACTCCCTAGAGTTTGGGATCCTGCTCCCCAGATCCCGCAGCAGCAGCGCCCGCCCCGCCCCCTGCACTCACTGGGAGCCCCACAGTCCACGCAGGTGGAGTTTCCCTTTGCGTTTCGGATTGCCTGGATGGCCACGGCTTCGCTTTGGCTGTCCGTGCGCAGCTGCAGAGAGAAGTGAGGTTTCAGAGCCGCACCTCGGGGGGGGGGGGGGGGGGGGGCCTCAGCCACTCCTGCTAGCCTCCCCCAGCAGCCTCCAGACCTTTTTACCTTGACCTTGCTGCTCTCACAGCACTGCAGACTGGCCAGGATCTGACTCTCGATGGCCTGGACCCAGGCATCCCGCTCCTCGAAGCTGGCTGCCTCGAAGTGCCACGTCTGACCAGTGCTGGACACGATCAGGAACTCGAAGTTCTCCTCTGGGTGGGTGGATGGGAGAGGTCATGAGGGACAGAGTTCAAGCCGGAGGAGGCCTTCCCCAGACCCTTCCTCCCTGGTGTCCTTGGAGCCCCTAGGAGTGGGATAGTGGGGTGGGGTAGGGGGAAGCAGAAGGTGGGAAACAGCAGGAAGCCCGAGCACATGCAGGGAGAAGCGGGGCACCCCCACCCCTCTGCACCCCAGCTTAGCACCCCTCCCGGCTCCCACGTGTGTTACCTGCTTTATAAATATTTCTTAAACTACCAAAGGATTTTAGTTTCCACATTTTGCGCTTGGCTGGTTTCCCGAAGCGAAGGAGATAGAGACAGAATGGAAAGTACAACAGAGAGAGAGAGAGAGAGAGAGAGAGAGAGAGAGAGAGAGAGAGAGAGAGAGAGAGACCAAGGAAAGAGAAAGAGGCAGATGGAGAGGTAGAGACACAGTGACAGAGAGTGCCAGAGACAAAGCAGGACAGACAGATGGGGAGAGAAAGCAGAACTAAAGTCAGTGGCCCCGGAGCAGAGTGGAGCGGAAGCCAAAGAGCCATGAGAGTCGGCAGATCTGGAACCCGGGTCTGAGCACCAGGCAGAGAATGGGGCGGGGGTGAGGGGGGCGGGGGTGGGGACGGGGTGGGGTGGGGTGGGCAGGTATTGTGACCAGAGAGAAACCTGGTCTCTGTGGGGGGAGGGGTGTCAGAATTTGTGTGAACAGTAGGAAAGGGGTGAGAGGCTGGGATGAGCGCCCTGGGGCTCAGAAGTCAGCAGAACTGGAGTAGGGATTGCTATGGGGGGGGGGGGGGTGGTGGTATAGATCTAGGGATCAGTGGTCAAGGGCTCTTGGAGGAACCTGCCAATCATAGGTTATTAAGAGCAGGGGCCGGGGCATCGTCGATAGGGACACCGAGTTCAGGGTCTGCGGTGCTAGATATGGGTGCAGAGGATGGCATCAGAAGTGCAGGTAAGGGCAGGAACCAGGAGAAAAAAACAGGGGCTACAGACTTTTGAGAACAGGGGCTGGGGACGAGGGAGGGACAGGAGCTGGGTGGTGGCCATCCATTCCCCCACTCAGTTATGTGCAGTGGGGATGACTGTCAAGCACTCAGTTCAGGCGCGTACCCTGCTCTGCGAGAGCTAGTCAGGGGTCGGATTCAGGGGGTGAGGGTCTGGAGTGGGACCCCCACCACAGCCTCACCTTCAGCCTGTACAGTAGAGCCTTCCGTCTTGGATGGTGTGGTCAATTTTTTCCTCCTCTGCTTCTTCACCATGGGGGAAGGTGGGGGCTCCCGACTCAGGGGACTCAGGTCTCCAGATGGGGTACAGTCTTAGGGAGGGGGACATGGTGCCTCAGTTGCCCTTCCACAGACTTCCTTATGGCTTGCATCCTGCCCTGAACTAACTGGCATTTTAGGGTATCCCTCCTCAGCTGTCCCCGTCCAAAAGGCACCCCTGGATCATTCCTGGGAGGTGGGCAGAGGAGGGCTTTAGAATCAGATCTCTACTCAGCTCTGGTCTCTGCAACTTACTGGCCTGGAGACCATGAGTAAGTCGATTTATTTTCTGAGCCTCAGTTTTTTTTTCATCCCTAAAATGGTGATAATAATCTTGACCCGATAAGTTGTTGTAAGAAACATTTATTACAGTGCTACTTTCTGTTCATGTATATGTCTGTGTAATATATAAGTGATATAATTTATAGATATAATTTCCAAACATTTCAAACACTGATGGCTGACTATGTGCTGGTCAAGGTCCCCAGTTTGTTAAATTAAACCTTGGAGAAACTTCCTATGCGGTGGAAACTAAGGCATGGAAAGGTCAAGTCGCTTGCCCATGTGGCTTCAAGGCACACTAGACTCCTAGCTCAGGCAGACAGATTGGCTCTGGAGTCTAGCTGTCTTCACGGCCACGGCAGACACAGCACAGGAGCTTGGTGCCAGTCACCAGCAGACATCCCTGTGTTCCCTCAGACACCAGCAGACATCCCTGTGTTCCCACAGACATGTGTTCCTGCTCCAAGCCTCCACTTTCTTACACTTCCCACCCAGATCCCATTTGGGTCTGGAAGCGAGTAGATGGAGGGTAGGTAGTAGCCCCACTAACCGGTGCTGAGGGCCCGGGCCAGATTTCGGTCTGGCTTCAGCAGGTGCTTGGATGTCTGGTCTGGTGGAAGCTGCAGGGAGCTGGGGCTGGGGCTGGGGCTTGGCATAGGAGTAGTGGCTTCTGTAGGAAGGAGAGGGAGAGGTATCAGTGAGCCTGTCTCCAGTCCGCTCTTTATCAGCCCCCACCCCCACACAGCCAGGGTAGCACCAACTCCTTCCTCTCCCCAGCCCTTTCCTCTATCCCAGTCTCCTTCCCCGCCCTCATGGCATGGGCCTCACTTACCAGGGCCTTCACCCATCTGGACGGTGCTCATGTCCTTGACCAACCCATTGATGCTGGCTGAGGGGCCAAAAGCAGAGATAGCCCTTGGGGGCCGCTTGCCTGGGACTTTGACAGTCGTTCGTAACAAGTCCATCTCTTTGCCGTGTGTACTGTGGATGTAATCCTGTAGAGGTATGGGGTCGAGAGAGTGGGTGTCGGGGGCAGGGGGACCCTCCGGTCTTTGAGAGTGCTGAGAAGTAGGCAGTAATAACAGGATACAGAGGGGCCCTGAGAGCTGACTGGACTGGGAAGACCTTGGAGGGAGTAGACCTGCCAGGAAGCATTCCCTGAATGGCAGGCAGGGGATAGGTCCATCCATGGTACTCTCCCACAAGACTGCAAGTTCCTGGGGCAATGGATACCTTCCTGTCCCCAGGACAGACAAACTTCACGAGCCTAAGAGAACAGGACTATAAAGCTCCCCAGAAATGATGCCGGGACTTGTCGGAGACATGGAAAAAACTAGAAGGATTTCCAAGGTTCTCCAGTGTGGACCATCTCTGCTACTCACATTAATGCTGGGGTGGTAGAGTAGAAAGCCATTGCTAGAGAGAGTCACGTATTTTTTCTTCCACTCTTTGTTCAAGGAGTTGCCACTTCTCTTCAGCAAGAAGCTCTGGAAGATCAGGAAGATGTGTGGGAGGAAAAGCCAGCTAAGAACAGCCGCTTCAGACCTTTCTTCAGCTCCTGAGCCCCTTACCTGTTTAATGGGGATGGCTCGCCCACTCCCCGTGGTCTCCGCCCGACTGTCTAAGCTCCGCTTCTCAGAATCACTGCCACGACGGTTCTGGAATGATTATTGGAATTAGCCAGAGGACGAGTAGGATACAATGATGGGAAATAGTGAAAAGAGAGAGGAAGAGTCCACAGAGAAGTCTAGGGACTAAGGATGACAGGCAGGCCACAGGATGGGAGAAAAGGGGGGCGCGGCACGTCCCATACCGCAAAAAGGCTGGTCCTTCGCTTGGCTGCTCGGTGTAGGGACCCTGGGGTGCTTAACCCAGCCACAGCGGCCGCCTCAGCTCGGAGCTCCCGGTGTCCAACATTGGGTGAGGATGGAAGGGAGGAAGAGTAGTCGCTAGTGTGGCCGCCGTTACTAGCCTGGAGGCACACAGAGGAGTCAGCAGAGCTCAACACGGACACCGGACACCGGCCAAGCTGAGCTGACATCCAGGATGTGGCATCCCTTACATCATTATTATTAGTTCACTGCCACCAGCAACACAAGTCTCCCCTAGCACTGCCCAGCTGCTTTAAGTTTTACGAAGTTTGACTCCCTGAGTACTGGTGGCCATACGGCGGTGCAGATAACCCGAGGAGGGAGGGTGACTTGCTTAGACATTGCAAATGGCATCTCACGCCTGGCCAATCTCATGCCTGGCCAATTTCCACTTCAATGTTATTTTCTTTACTTCCTTCCTTCCTTCTTTTTTTCTTGTGTAGCCCTGGCTTTCCTGGAACTCACCCTGTAGACCAGGCTGTCCTCAAACTCAGGAGATCCTCCTGCCTCTGCCTCCAGAGCGCTGGGATTAAAGGCATGGACTATCACCGCCCGGCCTCAATGCTGCTCTCTGTTCCCACTCACTTCCCCACTTCGTCTGAACCGGACATCGGTCTCAGGCACCCCAAACTCACCTGCCCAGCGACGGGAGTGGACGCGGCTGAATGGCTTGGTGAGCTGGGCAGGGACTTGCAGGCTGCCAGGAGCTGCTGCTGCTTACGCAAAGTCACCACCTTCTGGGCCACTGGAGAGAAGGGGAGTTGGGGGAGTCAGGAGCAGGACAGATACCCAAGACCCATTCTGAGAAGCCCCAGGAGATAATAAAGCCCCAACTTCCTCGTCACCAGAGCCTCCATGCCTCCTATGGCCTAGCCAGATCCAGCAGCCCAGAAACCATCTGAATTAACCAAAGCTTCCATGGGCTCCCAGACCCCTCCTCCCTCCCAGAGGCCAGTTTCCTGTCCCTGGGAAACAGAACTGGATGCCGGGCCTCTCCCATATCCAGGACCTCTGGCGTTCTGCCTGCTGGGGACTGCCACACTCACCCTCCTGGAAGACGCGGTCCACGTTGAGCCCGTAAGTGGCACACGTTTCATAGTAGCTACAGCGTTTCATCTCCGCGCACAGTGCCCTGGCTCGAGCATCACCCACCACTCGAGGAGACGAAGCACTGATCCTGTCTGAGGGGACAGCAAAGGGGCAGGACTGGCGAGGTGCCCTTCCTCCAGTGTTCAGGATCCCCGTTACCATGTGTTTGGAGCCCAGGCTAGACCTCCTGGAGTCATGAGCATGGGAGAATATCTGTCCTCAAGTCGACTGTTAAGTGTATAGGCCCCTTTGTGAGTACTGGGCCCAGGTAAGTCTGTGTGTGTGTGTGTGTGTGTGTGTGTGTGTGTGTGTGTTGTGTGTGTGTGTCTGTCTTTGTGTGTGTGTCTGTGTCTGTCTGTCTGTGTCTGTATGTTTCTGTCTGTCTGCCTCTCTGTGTGTCTGTATTTTCAGGCAATACTCCCAAAGTGTGTGTGTGTGTGTGTGTGTGTGTGTGTGTGTGTGTGTGTGTGTGTCTGTCTGTCTGTCTGTCTGTGTTTTCAGGCAATATTCCCAAAGTTGAGTGGAGGTTCCTGACGATGGTTGTGACTCCCAGGTGACAAATGCCCTGAAAACTCACTGAACCTGAGAGCTGTGTGAGAGGAGACCCGGGCTGTGAAGGAGGAGGCGTTACGTTAAATGCCTATAACGTAACAGGTGGGCTGCTCACTCTACAGTCAGAGAAGCCAGGAGGCGAGACAGGTGGAGGCTTGCACCTGCAGCAGCATGTGCAGCCACACAGAGCGCCCTGCCAGCTGGACAAAGACGGCAGTGACTACGTTCCTCCTGTCATGGTACAGTCTGAGTGCTTCTGGGCTCCTACCAGAAGCACTGAAAGTTTTCTGCTCTCTCCTTATTTCTCCAGTATCTCCTTGTTTCCTGTTTGTAGCGAAATTCCTTTCTAACAGCGTCAGCCTGACCCAGCTGAAGGGAAAGGCTCTCTACCCACACTAGGACCTGACGTTTTCTGTGTATCCCAGGGTAGTGTCGTCAGAAATGGCAGAGTGAACACAAGGTAGTCAACATCTCCAGAGATGGTCATTACAGCTGTCCTTTCCTCCCAGGCTGTCCTCTTTTCTCTGCTGAGACCTTGGGAAGTTTGTTTGGCTCATTACTTCCTTATTTGGACATCAGGCTCCCTCTAGAGGGTTGCTGGAATCGAAACCGCCAGTTCCACACCTTGCCAAATTATCAACCATAGTGGGCAATACTTATAGGCACCCTTCACCCTCCCCTAAAAGCAAGGCTTCCATATCCCCTCCTTACCTTGGGTCCCAACGAGAGCCAGGGCCAGACCTCCTCGTCCTTCCCCCCGGAGGGAGCTCAGCTGCCCGTGGAGACGGCTCACAGCCTGGAAGCTGCTTTCATCCTCCAGGCTGAAGACGAGGATCACAGCATCCGCCCAGCCTGAGAACTTGCAGGGGATGGGAGGGCAAACAGAGGGTCATACAGGCCCCACCACGCTGGGTACCACTCAGAGGGGGTCTGGGCAAGCCAGAGACTGCTTCCATGTCCAATGCTGACCCTGGCCAGCCTGTACGGCCTCCATCCCTCACCTTGGCATCGGGTGCTCCTGCTTCCTCTCGGATCAGCACCAGGTGAGTCTGCCCGTCCACCAACATCTCTTTCTTGTACTGCTCACCTGTCCAGAAGAGTTAAAAAGTTTAATAGGTCAGAGGTGCCAGATCACCAAACCTTTCCACATTCCCTGAACTTTAGCTCTCGTGCCCCTGAGTCCCATCCCGACGCCTGCCCAGGCACTGATCTTACTGGTGGGTCCCTGGCCCCCCAGTCTTAGCTTACTGTGGCTCCCGAGAACTCACTCTCAGTCTTCTCCAGCACCTGGTATGAACCTGTGAGGAATCTGTGAATGAGGGATGACTTCCCACTCCTGACATCACCCAGCACACCCTAAAGGAGAGATGTGAGAAAGGAAGAGACGTGAGCGGAGATAGAAGAATTAAGAAAGGGCAAGATGCTGGATCTGCTCATGCCAGGGAACCCACAGGGACTGGAGTGTCAAGCTACCCAAAAAGGCCCTCCAGGGGAGGAGCAGGGCATGGCGTGGTAAGAAATGATCCCAAAGCTGAAACAGACCACAAACTAAGTAATGCTCATTTTTGTGTGTGTTGTTTAGTAAACACATTAAACTTGTGTGTGTAGTAGAGCATAGGCCAGGGCATTAGTTGAAAGTTTTACCCTGTTCTAAGCAACAGAACACCAAGAGTCAAAAAAAAAAAAAAAAAAGCTGGGTTGTTGAGATGGCTCAGCGGTTAAGAGTACTATTTTGCTCTTCCAGAGGTCCTGAGTTCAATTCCCAGCAACAGCATGGTGGCTCACAACCATCTAAAGTGAGGATCTGATGCCCTCTTCTGGAATAAAGGAGTACATGCAGATAGAACGTTAATTCACATTAAAAATAAATAAAATCTTAAGGTGCTAGAAATGGGAAGCCTGGACAAATGGAAAGAGACGGGATGAAGGCTCTCAAGTCCTGAGGATGTACTGAGGAACGCCCCCCCTCCCAATCCTGCCATGACGCTAAGATGCTAAACTCGGATTGGCTCTCAAAGAGAGGAGAGGGAGGTGAAGGGAGAGAATGGGCGTGCCGGCGGGAGGAAAAGCTGGCTTGCAAGCCAAGGGCCTGGGTTACCTACCAGGCGCAGTTCGGGAATCGAGCGGCTCAAAGTCCATTCCTGGCTATTGACCACAGCCTCTGCAAAGGGGAAAGTGCAGTAAGAAGGGAGAATGTGGCATAGGAGGACTCCCAGCCCTCAGCCACTCTCTTCTGAGGGGTTCACCTAACCTGTAAGACCCTGCCTGCACTGGAGAGTGGTCCCCAGTCCTCCCATCCCAGCCACTCTCTCCACAGCTGTTGCCACCGCTCAGTGGTTGCTTGGCAACAGAGCTAGCAAGCCGAAAATACTTCAGTTGGCATCTCCCTTAAAACACATCCTCAAACACGGGTCCTTGCCCCAGACCAGATCAGGACGACTTAACTAGTAAGGACTGTCCTCCCACCACAGAGAAAGAGGGTCCCCCTGACATTCTCAGGGCAGATCCAAAGGGATCTGAGTCCTGGAATGGAGTGGGTCTTCCTCAATCTCCATTTCACAGGAGCGAAGATGAGTGCTTTCCTGCCCTCTTTCAAGGTCAGTGGCACAGGTAGTTCTAACTCCTGTTCATCGCCCAGGGGGCGGGGGGACAGAACTTGGATTTTCCTCTGCCTAGATCTCCATGGCCTTCGAAAGAACCTTGGGGTTATAAGGCTCCATCCCCAGGCAGAGAGAAACCACAGGCCTAGGGAGAAAAGATTCTCCTTGCGCCTGCCGGGTCCAGCCCCCGCGCCTGACACCGGCCGGACGTTCCCGGGGCGCCGCAGCTGCGGCGGGAACTCGGGGATCCGGAGCCATCTGCTCCCACCCGCTCAGGAGCCAAACCCCCGGGGCCGCCCCCGCTTCCAGACCCGCCTCCCCTCCGGGGAATGTGAGCGGAACCGAGTCGTGGGTCGCTACCCACCCCCCACCCCCGCGCGCCTGTCTCTACCAGTTAGAAAATAAAATAAAAGCACCCCTCGGGAGGGGAAAAAAAAAATTAAATAAATAAAGCTCCCTCCCTGTATGGCCTCCCAAGTCTCCACGGCTAAGAATTGTCTTTACAGCAGTTCCGCCCCCTGACTCACTCCGGGGTCAGCCCCGAGCGCGTTTCGACGCCGCTGCGGGGCGGGGGTGGGTAGTGCGGGAAGCCAGGCTTCCTATGTGCCCCCTCTCAGCTCACATTTAAATCTGCGCGTTCCAGCCCCCGCTCACTCAAGAACGCCCAATCCACCTTCAGTGCATGGAAAAGCCACCAGCCGGCTCTCAACCCAGGAAACCTGTCTCTGGCGAGGAACCCGGCTGCAAGGTCACTGCCACACCACCTGTGCCCATTACTCAGGGGAAACCGAGGCTTCCACGTCCCCTGCGCCTCCAAGTGTCCCTCCACACAAGGCAAAGTCCCTATCGCCTGGCTTCTAGACGCCAACCAGGGCTGAGATTGGGGTCTGAGGCTTCTCTGGGAGGATTTCCTACAGTTAAGCATCAACCAAGGCCAGCATTCCCCAGGAAGTACCCAAAACACTCCTGTCACGTCTCACCGCCTCAGGACCTCTTCCTAGTCTTTGCCCCGGCCCCGGGTCCAGGAGCGAGCCCAGCTCCTCCATCCACCCGAGAGAAAAGCTTCCCTGGTTCTTGCACAGCGTCCTCCCACCCCCAAATCAACTGTCCAGGTGTCTCTGGCCCTGACCCTCCCTACTCACTAGGGGAGGCGCGTAGCTCTGCGCCCAGCAGCTCCCTGGACCCGCTGCTGGAAGACAAGCCTGGGGGTCCGGGAAGGGGACCGGGGCCAGGAGGCCCCCCTGTGCTCTTGGTGAAGATACCGCTGATGAACTTGAGCATCTTGCGGTCACGAGTGGACGCTCGGCCGCCCTCCCGGCCCCTTTTCAGCCCCGGAGCTGGTGGCTCCAGAGTGATAGGGGGCGCAGGCCCGAGGGGCTGCGTGGAGGCGGTGGTGACCGAAGTGGCTGGCACTGGGGTTGCTGGCACGGTGAGCGGAGGAGGAGAGCCGGCAGTGGGTCCTGGGTGCAAGTCACTATTGTCCAAGGTCTTACTCTTGCCTTTCCGAGGGGACAGCTTCCCTCTCGCTCCGGCCCCAGCCCCGACCCCACCAGAGGTCGTGACTGCAGCGCCCCCTCCCCCGCCGGCCGCAGTGGCAGAAGCTCCGGTCCCGGCGCTGCTCTTTGACCCCTTGACCCTGGGCTTGCCCTCGCTTTCGGGCCATGACAGGCGGCTGCCCGCGCCCTTGCCCCCGCCGGCTTTGGCTCCGCTAGTGGTCACGGTCTTGAAAGGCTTGGGAGCCGGTGGAGGAGGCGCCACCTTGAGCCTTCGGCTACCGGTGCCAGGATGCGGGGAGGACGAGCCCGGGACGCCGCCCCCCGTCCGGCCTTCGGGTTCCGGACCCCCCCAGCTCGGGCTGCTGAGCAGAGGGCGTCGGGAGGAAGAAGGGGCGCCCCCCGGTTTGGAGTCCGGGCTCAGTCCCCCGGAGAGCGGGGGTCCCGGAGGGGCGGCCCAGAGGGACAGTCGGCGGCCCGGAGCCGGGGAGACCGGGCGAGCCGGACTGGCCGGAGCCGGGGACAGCGCCGGGGGCTCCGCGCCCCCGGCGCCCGCGCTGCTGGTGCTGATCCACAGCGCATCCTGCCGGTGGAAGAGACGCTCGTGCCGCTTCTTGCCGGGTTCCTCCGCGCCTCGGGGGCTGCCAGGATCTCGGGGCTCGGAGCCTCTGGCCCCGGGGGCGCCGGCCGCGGCTGCAGACGGGGAAGGCGGCGGCGGAGGTACCGACTCGAGCTTGACCAGGGTCAGCGAGATGAGGTAGGTCGTTGTCCGGCGCTGAAGCGCGCCCGCGCCCCGGCTCATGGGGCCCGGAGACCCCCGAGCTGGGGAGGGGAGGGGACTCCCCGGGACTGCCTCAGGGGGGCCCGGCCATGGGGCCGCCCTGCTCGCTGCCCCCAGCCCCCGGACCCCGCTGAGCCCCCAGCCCGGCTCCGCTGTCGCCGCCGCCTCCGCCGCCTCCTCTTGCGCCCCCCTCCCATCACATGGGGCGCCCCCTCCCCATGCTCCCCGCCCTGCGCCCCCACCCCCTTGGAGCCCCGGGACCTTGGTGCTGCTCCAGGGAGGCGCGCCGGACCGTGCACCCCGGCCTGGGTGGGGGCGCTGAGATGGGCGGAGGAGGGTGGGGAGGACAGTCGTGGGGGCAAATGGAGAAGAAGGGAAAGGGGGCAGGAAAGGGGGACAGAGGACTGGGGGAGAAGCACGGGAGCGGGGGAGGCAGGGGCGGGAATGCGGACTCAGTGGGCAGAGGCCGCGGATGCAGTGGGAAAGGGGGGTCTTGAGGGTAGGAGACTAGTGGGGCTGTCTGTGCGGGGGATTCGCAGGAGCACGGGGAGGATGCTAGGGATGGAGATATTGGAGGCGGTGGGGGAGGAAGGAGGGAACGGGAGGGGGTAGGAACCCACGGGTCTGGGGTCTGGGAGGGGAGGGGCGTGGATCCTGGCGAAGAGTCCGGGGGGCCTCGCCCGGGATCGGCTCGGTCCGGATGCGCGTTGTGTCCGGGCGCTCCCCTCACATTGAGGAGGAGGCGGCCCGCGGGCCCCCCCAACCCGTCTCCCCCCCCCCCTCCACCAGCACCGCTGTCTGCTAGGGCGGTACAAAAATCCAGGACTGGATTTCCCTTCCAAAACCTGGACTGGATTTCCTGGGGCTTGGATTCACCTCCGCCAACTACCTGGCCCCCTCCTTTCTCACACCAAGGTTAGGGAACACGAATGTGGAGTGTGACATTTAGGGACAGAGGTAAAACACTGATCGATTGGCTGGACAGATACAGGAAACAGAACTCCTTTGGTCTCTGTCAATTCTGGGGAACTGAAATAGGAATGTGAGGAGCCCTGACATTCCTTCTTGGGACCCCATTTCTTTCTCGGGGTACCTGGATGAGTTTCCTTTCTCATCACCCAGCTCCCTCTTCCACCCCAACTCCCACCCCATACTGAATACTTTCGCAGCCCTGCGACTGGGACTGATTGTCCCAAAGTGAACTTGGAAATTGTTCCCCAGGGATGGGGACAAACAAGGAACTTAGTAGGGGTGGGGGTGGGGGTGGGGGTGGGGGGGTTGCCTCTAGAGGAGAGAGACTGGAGAGAGCTCCTGAGCCCAAGCTGCAGCGTGAGTCAAAGGCCCCAGCTCAAGGTGGAACATCTACCAATTGACACCCCCCTATTCCAAAATGCATCTAGTCTCCATAGCAACCGTAGCTCCAAGAGTGCCTCAGAAGCTGCGGCGGGGATAAGCGGAGAGGAGGGATCAGTGTGTAGGATGGGTGGGGGACCAATCAGGGGACGCTGGGTTAGTGAAGGCACTACTCTCACACCTGGTTACCCACCTGCGGGGGATCTGGCTCCCTGGACACAAGGAACCCCCTCAGTTGAGGCAGCGGGAGCCGGCCTCTTAGGTGTGTCCATTCAGTCTCCTGAGGTCTATGTAGCTGGGCTCTCAGAGCAGGTTAAAGGGGGAGGCAAGAGCGAATGGACAGTATTTGCGCCATGTCCCCACCCCTTTAGGGGCTCTGGAGTTCAAGGCTTTGTCCTCCAGAGGGGCAGAGAAACATGAGCAGTTAAGTCCCTGCAGAAGACAGGCTGAGTCCCCATGGAGGGGGGCGGTGGGCTGGAAGGAAGACAGTCTCCCTGAAGCCTTGGAGACCCCTGCCCGGGATTTGGAGAGCCTCGGCGGTCCTTTGATTCGGCTTTCCACCCTCTTGACGCAGCCGAGACTATAATAAGTGCGGGCCGTGGGCGGCTCTTGGAGGCAGGAGCCAGCAGAGTGTTCGGCCCGGTGGGGGGTAAGGGTTGGGGGCTGAACCAGGATGCGGGGAGTCTTTGTTTCCAGAGGCCCCTACCCACTCTCTCCCAGATCCTCCTATCTTGGAGGTCAGTGGTTTCTTAGGGAGTGCCCTTCAGAACTAGGATGACACATCAGGACAGGAAACACACTCTATAGTCTATCATGAAGGAGAAGGGGGAATTGTTAGCTCTTTAATATTCGGAGAGCCTGTCTCAGTTTTCCTTCGTGTTCAGTGGGAGCAGAATTCTGTCTCGCTCAGAGTACAACAAACTACTTGGAGTAGAGCTTTGCCAGGTGCAGTGGTGCACCTTTTTGAGGAAGCTGAGGCAGGAGGATTGCTGAAAGTTCAAGGCCAGCCTGAGCTACACAGTGAGTTCAAGGCCAGCCTGAGATAGACAGCAGGCTCCAAACCCAGTCTCAAAACAGCAACAACAACAACAAACCAGCATTGGGCTGAGGCGTGAATGGTAGTAGAGCATGCCCGCACACACGGAGGAGGTTTGGAGGCCTCAGGTTCCGACATCTCTAGCAACACACACCACACACAAAAATATGGAGAAAAGGTCTACCCTGCCTCCAACCATTCTCTCTTTACCCTCCTTTTTGAGATCTTTTTTTAAATTATTATTAAAAAATACCTGTTCATTATATAGTTGAGTCTGAGGCTGGTTGAGGACTTGCTATGTGATCCAGGATGCCCCAGAACTCTCAACCCTGCTCCATTCTCCTGAGTTGTGGGGCTAGAGTGACAGGATTACTGGCGTGCCCCATCACACCAGCTCTCTTCCCGTTTGTAGAACTAAGGGGGGTGTCTTTGCTTGGTCCCAACTCCACTCTACTCAGACAATGGTAGGATCTAGAGTTCTTCCCTACGAAGTCCCCATTTTCATCACTTAGGATATCAGAGAAGACACTGCTGTAGTTCTTCCCTCCAAGGGTTGGGTGTGGGAACTGCAAGAGAACTAGCCTCGAAGGAGCAAGGAGAAGAGAGGGGGCATGGGAAGGGATTGGGGACCGTTCTACTAACAACCTAAACCAACCAATCCTTCCTCCAAATCGTGCCCTGGTGTCAGGTGGAGCCCTTGATGGAAAAATTTTCTTTTTTTTTGACATTTCCCTCCCTGGAGAAGTAGCTAAGAGCGGAGAGGACTGATAACTGGAATGATCAGGGGGCGATGGAAGACGGGCTTCTGCCTGACACACTTTACAAGCAAGGGAGCCTGCTTTTGTGAGTCTCTTGGGCATCCACAGATGGATGAACTCTAAGTCTCCCAGTTCCTCAGTGGTGGGCCTCGGGGATGACGGACAGGCTTGCCAGGGCCCCACCACAGGATCCAAGGCTACAGTGGGCCAGGAGGATGTGGCGGATGGTGTTGCCATGGCAGCACTTCCTCTCTGTGTTGTCATCGCTTACTCTAATGGCACCAAGAGGAGGTGGAACGGAAGAAGGCACTGAGGAGGTGAGGGGAAGACAAGAAGGGGAGCACAGGAGGGGTGGGGACCGAGGCAAGTCCTGGGGACCTCGCTGCAGGGCAGCTATACAAAGCAAGCATGGAGTTGTAAGGGTTAGTGTGCTTGGGAACCTGACATATCACGCCCCCTCCTGTGTGTGTGTGTGTGTGTGTGTGTGTGTGTGTGTGTGTGTGTGTGTGTGTTTCTCTCAGCTGGAGAACAAGAGGTCACTGATCTTTAGTGGGTCCTGGGAATGAACACATTATCAAGTCCCAGAACCTCTGCCCCTGACTGCTTCCTGCTCTGGACTCCCCAGACAGGGAACAGGACATCTAATGGGTCTGTTAAGCTCTGTCTTTCCAGCACTTAAACCACTCTCTGCTGCCAAGAAGGTCAGCTCCACAGTGACTGGAATTCTGTTCAGAGGTGATTTGGGAAAGAGAAATAAAAAATAATACCCCCCTCCAGGTCTTTTTCCATCCTCCCCAATGTCCTTTTCCCAGGTCTCAGTTCCATCTTAAGAACTAGGAAGTGGCTGCTTGAACAGCAAGCAGTTATGCTACAACACAGTTAAGCCTTTCTGTGTCCCCTGCTGGTCCCCCAGACAGCCAAGTTAGGGACCGATGCAGCTCTTACCTCGTATGTTGTCCAGCGAGGCCTGGATCCCGTCTCGGAGATCAGGGTCACCCACTCTCTCCGCCAGCTTCCTGAGTCGGCTTAGAGCCTGCCTGGCCACCTCATGTCGTCTGATTTCTGCTCTTACTGTGGCGAGAGCCAGCTGCCTCTGGGCATGCATGTTGCACAAACCTGCCTTCCCAGACTAACAACCACCTCTGGCCCTGAAGCCCATGACCCCGCAGCCCCCAAACTCCAGAAGGCCTCTTTTGCTGTGCCCCAGAACTCCTCAACCCTGCCCGCCCTTCCGTCTGTCGGCCTCACTTCCTGGCTGGTGAGTTTCAAACCCACAACCCACACGGTACTACCTCTTACACCTCCTGCCCCCTCTAGCGTTGGTCCTACAGCTCTGACAGCCAGCCCCGGGTATGATTCCTGGCAGGTGAAGGGAGCGCGACCTTAATAAGGGTTCTCACAGCCTCTGTGGGAGGTAGCTAATTAAGATGGGTGTTGGTTCTGGGAGAATGTGGCCAGCAGAGATCACAGGCAGGAGCCCATACTCTTGGTGATTTGCAAATTTGTCTTAGAATCACACACAGAAATCCACCTGCCCTTGGCCTGTCCCCACAGAGGCCTGCATGCTAGTGTGAGGTTATTCGCTACTTTGGACTGCAGCAATAGCTCAGCCATTAAAGCTAAGGCTCATACTTCTAAACATCAAGAGTTCAAGTCCCACTTGTTGCCCCTCTCTCTTCCCTTAGTTGTTATTCGCTGTAACCATCTCCTGTTTATAGGACCCAAGTAGTTATGGGAAGAGTGGGTTATAGGGGAGGAAAACAGCCTATAGCCGGATAAATCTATGTGCTCCAAATTCCGTTTCTATCCTGGTAATTAGCATGTGTATAACACTTAATCATTGACGATACGCTCTCATATATATTAATGACAAGCCCAAAGGGTAGGAGAATGTACCATGATTATACAGAAGTGCAGATTGTTGCTCAGAAAGGCCCATAACAGGTGAACAAAGAGCTAATTGTACTTTTTTTTTTTAAGATTTATTTATTTATTATGTATACAGCATGTATGTCTGCGGGCCAGAAGAGGGCGCCAGATCTCATTACAGATGGTTGTGAGCCATCATGTGGTTGCTGGGAATTGAACTCAGGACCTCTGGAAGAGCAGTCCGCGCTCTTGACCTCTGAGCCATCTCTCCAGCCCCTAATTGTACTTTTAATTTAATACACACACAGCAAAGGTACTTGCCAGCTAGTCCCTCAGGACCATGGTTCTGCTCTTGATTCATGACCTGATAGAGAAGAGGAATGAGGATTTCAAGGGGAAAACGGAGACTAAGTTGGAGGGGGCAGGTCGTAGGTAAGGGGTAGTTGGCTCAGTTATTACTTTTTTTGTCACGTGTATGTGTGTATGATGCACAGAGGTGTGTGTGCTCCTGTGTGCTCTGGCTTCGTTTCTTTCACTGTGATATAATTCCCTGGCAAGAATAACAACTTAGTCAACACAAGGATTATCTCAGTTTACAGTTCTGCATTATAGCCTGTTGCTGTGGGAACGTCATATGCTCACCTTGTGTTCAGGCCTCCACCGCCACTCTTATACGGTTCGTGACTTCCTGCCTAGGGAATGGGGCCACCCACAGTAGACGGGTTCTTTTCACATCAATTAAT